CCATTTTCCACTGGTTCGGCTCGTTTTGACAGGAGCAGTCAGGCGTGACTGTGACCAGCTGATGGCTGACTGCGCACACGTGAAAGCAGTTGCCTCTTGCTGCAGCAATGAACTTTATGGAGAGCAGTTCGAGCAGACGTCTTGTCTGTAATTCATTTTATTTCTTGCTCAGTGGAGTTCTTCTTTACACTGAGACCGATTGACCTTCCGATTTATGGACAAATTGGTTTTCCACGAATCCCTTAATAGATGTTGAAGTATCTTTTATTTTGTTTGAAGCGGAGATTGGAAGGGATCCGTAGTCTGGCCTCATGGAAAGCCGAAGAGGAATTGTAGTTGAGCTTTGACGGTAGAGAATGCAAATAATACCTCGGCTTACTGTACCACAACACCGATGAATCCTTGCTGAGCTTTTGTGCTTCATATGAAGCCTACTCATATGAATGTGGAAAAATTTGGCTGTGAATACACCTTATATTTATGATAATTCGCAAGAGCACGAAGATGGGAACTGCTGAGATGAATTCACCCTATTTCGTCTAAGGTGATGAAGGACTGGTAGTAGAATTCTCCCACAATCATATGAGTTGAGCTGACGTTTCCATTCAATTTCACATTGCCTTGCTTTACCAACAGTTGTTCTCATCCAGGCAGGAGTGGACTACAAATTCTACATCTAATACTACTGATTTACTGTTAGTCTCGAAACAATACTTAAATGCGAATATAATAAAAATAAATTCTTATAAAGGTAGCTATATATAGGATGATTTTGATAGTTAGTTCTCAGGGTAATCTTAGTATATTTTTCGCATTTAAATATTGTTTCGAGACTAACAGTAAATCAGTAGTATGAGATGTAGAATCTGTAGTCCACGCCTGCCTGGATAGGAACAACTTTTGGTAAAACAAGGCAATGTGAAATTCAATGAAAACGTCAGCTCAACTCATATGATTGTGGGAAAATTCCTCTTCTACCAGTCCTTCATCACCTTTGACGAAATAGGGTGGATACATCTCATTACACTGATTTACTGGTAGTCTCGAAACCCTACTCTCATGGTAACTGATAGTTAAATTTTTCCCACAATGACATTCGTCAGCCTCATGTTTTCAATCAAATTCACATGGCCTTGCTACCTAAAAAGTATTTCCATCCTGTGTTGACTGTAGCTTCAACCTCACCGGAGCTAGTCTCATCAGCACTTTCAGCGAGACTCTAACCATGACACAGCAGCCTGTTATCTTGACGCTTTAGCCGCTAATCCACCACACTGTCAAGTGTACCCTTGTGTCACAGTGCAGCTGTGCTTTTCACGAAGGATAAGGCATTTTCCCATGTCACACCTCCGGCAACTCACGGGCACCGTCTAGACACAGCATTCGTGCAATGGAATGCAATCACACTCGTCGCGATTGCGTAATCAACAAATACATAAAAGCGATTTGTGAGAAGAAGCAGCTGTTCGTCCACTTCAGGCGCCCTCTACGGCCACTTCAATTTTCCCCAAGCATGTGGCAAAAGCATAGGATTCCCAAAAAAAGTATGCGATGCTTCGTTGAATGGACAAAATGATACTTTCACAAGCCCATCTTTCTAAGCCTCGTCTTTTAGTCTCCAGCTCCGACGATACCCATCACATGACGACTGGAGCTCAGCACGAGGTTGTATTCGCACAAACATGCAATCATCGCTCCAAGCACATCCATCCACATCGGCTTCAGGTACAGCCGAATTGTGCAACTCTTCCCTTCGCCCCTTTAAACCAAACCAAGCCTACTCCAACATCAACATCAACTTTCCCGTCTGCCAAGCTTTTCTCTTCGGTCGGATTCGACAGAATGCTTGTGACTGATTTCCCTCTTTTTGGCTCTTTTAGGTGGTGGGGGATGATCTGCTGGTGACCAACGCAAAACGTGTGAGCCGAGCGATTGAGACCGGAGCCTGCAATGCTCTTCTGCTGAAGGTGAACCAGATCGGCACGTTCACCGAGGCCCTGGAAGCCTGTCAACTGGCCAGACAGGCCGGCTGGCGAGTGATGGTCTCGCATCGGTCAGGCGAGACGGAGGACAATACGATCGCAGACATCGCCGTCGGTCTGGCCTGTGGACAAGTGAGTTTACCGGCCCACTCGCTGACCTCTTCCCAGATGCCCATGTCATGAGAGTCCAGTGCTTGTGTCAGAAGTGGACAGAGCAGAGTCGTCATTGGGAGATATAAAGAGAAGAGAAGGCTTTTCAAGAATTCATTTAGTGAGACGCGGAACTGTGAGCAGAGAGCTAATTCGCGCAAATCTACAGTCACATCTTTCATCGGTTTCTGGTTGGGCTGGCTTACTTTTCGTCTCGTTTGAAAAGGCGGATGGAAGGGATTCATAAATCGGCCACATTTGATACCGAAAAAGGATTGCCTTTGGCCATGACTGTTGGATTGTGCGAAGAAGACCTCCCGCTCCTTCCGTGTCGAGCTGGCCTGCGTCATGTGGCCAGTGCAGACAAAATAAGAAGCTATGAATACCAAGATGGTGTGGACTTTTGTGTGGTCGCAGCCTCTATCTGTTTCTATCCCGAATACCAAGTCTATGCTTTGCCATGCCCTAGTCTCTTGTGTGCCG